CGATGTCTCTTCACTGCCGCCTGGGCCCGGGCCTGGTGGGCGTGAGCCGCGTGTCGGGTGCGGGGCCCTGGTGTGCGGGGCGGGGCGGAAGCTGGTCCGCGTCAGGAAGCTTCGCCGCTGTGGTCATGGCGTGGACTGGTGGTGGGCGTGATTTCATTTTTTCACTGTGAATGACTCGATTTGCTAAATGTCAGGGCCAGGGCCTCGGGGGACCCTGCCGTGTGCAGTGGGACAAACTGGAGGGTGGACTGGCCCAGGGCATGCATCCGGGCTTGCTGCCAGGCCTTTCTGGCAAATCCCGCGGGGCAGGGGCTCGGGCGCCCGCCCCCTCCTCTGCCAGCCCACCTTCCTCCCCCCTGGGTGGGAATGGCTCAGGCAGGGACTCAGAGGCCTGTGGGGGACAGGCCCGCTGCCGCGTGTACTGCTTTGCAGTGTGGTGGCCCCTGCCCCTCACAGGCATGGACCAGCTGCTGTCCCGCCCAGTGTGGGCCAGGTCCCTTGGGGGCAGCACCTGGGGCCCTGGGTGCAGATGTCCACCGTGGGTGCCCGCAAGCCCTGTTAGGTGAACGGCAGCTCCCCCAATGCGGCCCGGCTCGTGGCGGCTCAGAGCGTGCTGGCCACCGTGCAGAGCTGCTGCTGACTTTGCACGTCGTCTTTCCACTCAGCCTGGGTCCTCCCTGGGGGGAGGGGGCAGGAGCTCACAGTGTTCGGGCACCAGCCCGGGCCGGGTCCCCGCAGGCTCTGTCCAGTGTAGGTGTGTCTAGGCGCTGCAGTCCGATGGGGGTGAGCTGCGGGGGGCCTTCCTGGGGCACCCCCTGGGGGCAGGGCGCCCGCGGCCCCGGGCTGGGCCCACCCCACTGGCTGGCCTCTCTGTGCCCACGAGTTCCTCTCTCCCCGCCAGGGCCTCTTCCCTGTTTCAAATTGTTTTCATTTGCGAGAACTCTCCGGGGACCTGGGCTGCATGGGTTTCCCACTTCTGAAGCGATGTGTGGAAGCCACATCCCCTGGGAACGAGCTTCCGCCTCTGGTTTTCCCCCGAGTCTGGTAACTGCTGCCTCCGGAAGACCCCCCCCACCCCATGCTCCACGCCTCGGCACGTGCCGTGCAGACCAGACGTTTTCTCCTCGCCCCTTTTTCTCATGGGGTCGTGGCCACTGCCCGTCTGCCACGCCCTGCTCCTCACCTGTCCGCGTCACGGCCCCTCCCCCTGCCTCTGTCTCTGCCTGGGGGGGTCGCGGTCATGTGGGCTCCTGACAGCCCCACGCTGGGCTGGCTTCTCAGTCTCTGAGCCCGGCCCAGCAGGCGGCTGGGGGCCCCTGGGCGGGGTGCTCTGCCAGGCCCTCCCCCTGCCCTGCGTCCTTTCTCCCGGACTGCGGCATGAGCCTGTGCAGGGCCGACCCGCATGCTCACAGGGTCTGGCAGCATCCTGCAGAGTCCGGTGCTTCTGCTGTGTGGTGGCCTCGGGGTTTCCTGCTCCCCAGTTCCCCACTTCTCACCAGCCAGGACTCCTGCAGCCTCCTGGGGCAGGTCCTGGTGGTCTGCAGCTGGGGGTGGCACTGGCGACAGCCTGTGGCCGAGCCCCGCCCTGGGCCTCCCTCCCAGAGAACAGCAGTTTCCGAATTGTCTTTGGTGCCTGTGTCCTGGTTTCTTGGGCAAGTTGGGGGCAGGTTGGGGTATTAGAGGAGACTCCCAGTTGTCACCGCGGGGCCCCTGCCCAGCCTCCAGCCTGCACGAGGCCCCGCCAGGCCAGGCCAGGCCAGGCCAGGCTCGCAGGGCCTTTGGGACCACCCAGCTGTCCTTTGAAGGCGGCTGTGGCTGGGCCTGAGCTGACGGTGACTCCGAGACTGAGAACCTCCTTCAGAGACCAGATGGGGCCCTTCCCCAGGGAACTGCGCTCACTCCAGGCCTGGTCCACGCGCCTCCCGCCTGGGCCTGGGGGCCGCCCCCCCCTCTGTTTTCTGCCCGCAGCAAAGAAGCTGGGAGGCCAGGGAGATCCACAAACTTTGTCCCAGAGAGTCTGTCTCAGCAGAGGTGAGGGGGGCAGAGCCCCGAAGTGCTGGGCTTGGGGATCCCAGGTGCCTGCAGGAGGGGGCGGGGGCCGAAGGCGAGAAAGAATCCAGGAGCAGGGGCGGGCGGGGAGCAGGGAGGCCCCTGGCCTCCAGGAATACGTGTCATCGAGCCCCAGGTCACGGGGAAGGGGACCAGGACAGCTCGGGGTGCCAGGCCTGCAGCAGCCTCCCCTTTGGGCGTTTGGTCTCGGTCCCTCTTGGGCTCTGCTCTCACACGCGGGGGTCCCACAGCCCGCCCCTCCCGGGAGCTGTCCTCTTCCGTGGCAGCCACGGTGCATCGAGAGGGAGTCTTGTTACGTCAGGCGTGGGCCAGCCCTTCCCCACCTGGCTAACCAGATGTTCCAGCGTATTTATTAAAAAGTTCTTTGACGTGAGCTGCTGCGTTTATTATATACTAAATGTCCATGCGTACGTGGGTCTGTTTTTAGACTTTCCTATTCCATTGTATGTTTTCACGCGCAGAGTTTTAATTATGGAGGCTTTCCTGCATTCGTTATAATAGCTTTATTGAGCTGTAACTCACTCTTTTAAGTGTATAGGTTGGTGGTTTCTAGCGTGTCTATCCATCGCGACTGTCAAGCTCCATAGCACAGTCATCATCCTAAAAGACACCCCGCAGCTGTTAGCATCGCAGCCCGCCTGCCCGCGCCAGCCTCTGCGGCCACCTGTCTGCTTTGCCTTCTGCGGATTTGCCTGTCGTGGACACTTCTAGTCGGTGGAGCGCGCACGTGTGGCCTTTCGCATCCGCTGCTCTCGGCTGGCACGGCGTTTCAGGGCCCGTCCACGTGGCAGGGGTCAGCGCTGCGTCCTCTGGGTGTCCCAGTCTGCCAGCAGCGGTCCTTTCTGCGGCCGGTGTGTCCTGGGCCGTGGCCGTGCCTTTGTTTCCCCACACGAGCTCCCTGCCAGCTGGCCGGCGTCTTACGGGGACGGAAGGACGGACACCTCTGTGAAGCAGGCTCGTCCTGTCCAAGGCCGGCTTTTTGCTGAGCACGTCTCTCTGTCCTCCTGGCCATTTTGAAGTCTCTCAGAGTCCCCCCATTTCATGTTAAATAAACGCACCTTATTCCGAGGTACATTATCTTTTTTGTTGCTATTGTAAATGGGATTTTCTTTACCATTCTGTTCTCTAACTCAGGGGTCCCCAACCCCCAGGCCACCCACCAGTACCGGTCCATGGCCCGTTAGGAACTGGGCCGCACAGCAGGAGGTGAGCGGCGGGCAGGCCAGCGAAGCTTCGAAGCTTCGTCTGTGTTCGGGCCGCACAGCAGGAGGTGAGCGGCAGGCCAGCGAAGTCTGTATTCGCAGCTGCAGCCGCTCCCAGCGCCTCGGCTCCGCCTCAGATCCTCAGGCGTTAGATTCTCATGGGAGCGCCGGTCCCTGGTGCCACAAAGGTTGGGGACCGCTGGCCTAACTGGTTATTTGTGTATGTGAAGGCTCCGCTCTCTGTGAATTTTCTACCCAGCCTCTCGACCACCATCTTTAATTTGTTGAATTTTGGTGTGTCTAGCGTTTTCCAAGTTTTCCGTCTCATCCTCTGCAGAGAGATCGGTCCCCCTGTGTCTCGTGCCCCTGGCCGTGTCTCCCGTGGAAGGGCCTGCGTTGCCGTCGCCTCCAGAGCAGCGCTGGGTGGTGCCGAAGACGCCGGCACCCTCGCTGCCTCCGGGATCTCGGGCAGCTCCCCGTGTTTCCCCCTTTCAATGAGGTGCTTCTTTTAGGACCGAAGGATACTCACTTCATCTTCTTAGGACAGGTTCTTGAGTGTTTGCGTCAAGATATATTGATGTCGCTTTTAGCGTCTGTGGAGAAACTCAAGCTTTTCCCTCCGGTCCGTCGCCGTGGTGTTTAGCGTTTGCGAGTTTCCTGGAAAAGTAAACAAAGCGGGTTTTGAATTTCGTTTCCTAGTGTTTCGTTTCGTATTTTTGTGTCTATTCATAACTGGAACCGGTTTGCCGTTCTCTGGTGATCTTTCCGGACTGTAGGCTTCGGTGCCAGGGTCCTGCTGCCTCACAGCGGTCAGGAGGCTCTTGCCCATCGTCGGTGCCCGGCGTAGTTCACGGAGAGTGGACGCGTTTGGCTTTGGCCGTGTGACGGTCACCCTGCAAAGCCAGCAGCCCTGCTGACCGTCTGTCTGCGCTGCGCAGCTTTGTGCGTAAGCGTTTTGTGTCTCCCAGGACGTTACTCGTTTCTTCTGTGTTTTGTCGTTTCTTTGCGTCGAGGTTTGAAAGTAGAGTCTTACAGTTCCTGGACTATTTTTCTGTTTCGGTGATGTTTTTCTCCTTTTTAATTCTTTCGATTGCGTGTCAGGGCTTTCTCCCTCCCTCTTTTCTTAGCTAAGTTGGCTAGTTGGTTGTCTTTTTTGTCAGTGTTTTTTAGAAAATGATTTCGATTTTGATAGTTAGGCTTTTCGTTTGTTTCCTACCCTATTAACATTGCTTTTATTTCTTCTGCTTCCTTCCTTGTGGTTACTTTTGAATTATTTTATTGTTCTTTTTCTAACCTCTTGAATTAAGAATTTAGTTCATTTGTTTTTTATTAAAATGTTTTTTTGTTAAAATGTTTTGTTACAAATTTTTCTCTGATCATTGCCTTAAATGTATCTTACTGATTTTCATATGTAACGTTTTCACTGTTATTTTTTTAGAAAGTCCTTAATTTTAGTTTGTTTTCCTTTTTTTCTCCAAGAGTGGTTTAATAGGTCGATTTTAAAATGAGAGCGGCTTCTTGGCTTTCGAAACTGTTTTAAGTGCGCGTCTGCATCGGGCAGCCCCGGGCCTCCACCCCCGAGTGTTATGGCCCCGAGTGCGCCCGTCCCTGAGCCCGGTGTGTCCCCGTTCACTCGTGTTGTCTGGATTTTTTTAAAATAATGGCTTTTAGTTTTCAATATGCAGATCGTATACCTTTCTTAAATTTATTTCTAGGATTTACAAAAATCTCCGGGGTGTTTTTATTTTGTTTTTAACTCAAAACCTTTGGGCACAATCATTCTAGATTTTTTAAAAGTCACCAGGTTAACAGAAAGACCTGTTTCGACGCCGACCGCCACGCCCCCAATTTACTCTGCCCCCTTCTCTGTGCAGACGTACGCACACACGTGCTCTGAATTGCTCGTCAGCGAGTTGCAGACACGATGCCCCTCGTCCCCCAAAGGCGTGGTCTCACGTAACCCCAGCACGTTACCCCGATGGTGCGGTCTACCCCGAGGGCCCGTTCGCATCCCTAGGGCGAAGCTCGTGAGTGTCTCGTCGGCACCCACGTTAGCGGAGCGGAGCCGGCGTCTGTGCTGGTTTTGGCGATGACGTCTCTCGCCTCCCCTCGCCCTTGGGGACAGTTAGTTCCTCGGAGTTTCTGTGTTTCTCGAAATTGACATTTGGGAGGACTGCAGGTCCGTTTTGTGTGACTGTGTTTCTGACGTCTCTCACGGTCGCACGCTTTTGGCAGGATTGTCGCGGAAGCGCCGCTGTGTCCTCAGCACCTGGCATCGGGAGGCGCATGATGTGGGCTTGTTCCGTCCCCGATGATGCCGACTTAGATCATTTGGTTAAGGTGACGTTTGCCAAGTTTCTCTTTTGTAAAGTTATTACTTTTCCATTTTTAATAAGTGTCTTAGGGAAGGTACATTTTCTAAAAATTAAAATTATTGGGGTGATGTTGGTTAATAAAATTAAATAGGTTTCAAGTGTACAGTTCAATCCTGCGTCGTCCGTATATCGCATCGTGTGTTCACCACCCAGAGTTAAATTTCCTGTCATCAAATATTTGACCCCCCTTTACCCCTATGCCTCCCCCCACCCCCTTTCCCCTGGTCACCGCTGAGCCACTGTCCGTGTCCTTAAGTCTCTGTTAGGAAAGATGCTTTGCGACTATCCGAATATCCCCTCGTCCGTCAGACTTCTACTCACTGCTGCTGACAAACGCTGGACGTTCCTGCCTGAATCGGTTATTTTTGATAGTTAATTTCATCATTCCTTTCGCAATGATCAGTTTCTACTCTAAGGGAGAACTTTTCCTTTTTTCCTTATTTGCTTATTTATAACTGTGGACTTACGGGTTATAATCCTTTATCACCGTTGTGTATTTTCCCGATCAGATTGTCCCAGACGTGGCCAGCGGAAGCCTCTTCCCGCCGCTTCCGTGCTCTGAGCGGCCCCTCCTCGCTCTCTGCTCCACGGTGCTCCAGGCTCACCTTCCACTTCTCCGTCCCGCAGCCCAGCGCCTGCCAGCCCTGGAGTCCGCCGCCTCTCGCAGGAGTCCCGCGTCCTCCTTGAGGGGAAGAATGCTGCTCGTGACCGAGATCTGTGTGCTGGGCGTGCGCGGTGCCACAAAGCCCGGAGGCCGTGTGTGTCGTGCGCACACACACTGTGTGAGTGAGTGTGCCCGGGTGGGGTCACGTCCGCCCGCTCACGTCTCTGTCCGCACCGTCTGTGCACAGTGAAACTGGGCGCTCCCGCGCTGCCTCCTCCGGTCCAGCAGCTGCCTGGGGGCGGCGGGGGGCAGATGCGGTCCTCTTCCTCGGTGGCACCTGGTCCTGCGGGAGCGGTGCGGAGAGAGCTCTGCGGAGGGGCGGGTGGAGGGAGCTGCGGCCCCGGCGGCCTTGCCCTAGACCCTGTCAGTCTCTGTAGCTTTGGGTCTGTCACTTTTTCTTCCTGAGTTCAGTTTTCTCATCTTAAAAACGGGGATTTGAGCTGGGCCCGCGAGCACCTGGCACTGGCGCTCCCTCCCCACAGCCCATGGCAGACGCTCGTCATCCCAGGCCCCCGTGACCCCAGACGGGTCCCAGCTGTCTTCACGTGACACTCCGTTTTTGACACCAGGTGTGAGCAGATTTGGGGCCCAGTCCGTGGGGCAGCCTGGTCTCAGGGCTATGGTGACCTTCACCCGGGGTTTCCAAGCTGGTTCGGCTTCCAGGGCACCCAGAGCACCCAGAGCACCCATGGCATCCAGAGCACCCAGGAGCACCCAAGGCACTCAGGGCATCGGGGGCACCCAGGGGCACCCAGGGCAGCTTGCTGTGGCTGGAGCATTTGGTGGGTGTGTGGGCAGGGACAGTGAGGGCAGCGTGCAGGGCCAGATGGCATCAGTCCAGCCTGAGGGCTCCCGCACGGCTGACTCACGGAGTCTGCCGGCCCGCTGGTGGGCAGGCAGCCTGGGCCGCCCCGCACCCCTCTGGAACAGCGTGGGCGGGCCTGAGCATCACTGAGCCTCTCTCCTCGCCCTCCCTGGGTGCAGCTCGGTGGTCTCTAAGCAACGCAGCCCAGGGCCTCCTGCCTCCCTGGGGCCTCAGAGGCTGGGACTGCTGGCTGGGCCTAGTGTGCAGCAGAGCACAGGGTAATGTCGCTGCAGGTCACCTGCCCGCAGGCCTCCTGGCAGTGCCAGACGTGACCAGGTAAGTGGCTGGCCACTGAAGCAGGAGCGTCAGGCCGTGGGTAAGGCCACTGGCAAGCTTTCCTCCTGCACTGTGCAGCATGAGCCTCTTCTGTCCCCAGCCCTGCCTCCTCCAGGAAGCCTCCAGGATGCCCTCCCCCTTCCCGCCCCCCCTCCAGTTTCCTCACAGAGAGGGCGCTGGGGAGTGCAGGGTGGGGGGCTGTCCTCCAGCCTCTGTCTTGGACACATTTCTGGGCATGGCCCCCAGCTCGTCTGTTTTGGTTCAGTGGGGCAGGGAGGGGGCTGGGCAAGGACAGGGATCCCAGAGAAGCAGAGTAGAGAGCACCCCTGGAGTCAGGTGATGGACCTGGGAGCTCAGCCCCATGGGGTCACTGCTCACTTCCAGGCAGGGGCCGTGGGAAGGCTCGCTGTGCATCTGGTGAGGGGGCTGTGGCCGCCATGTGGCCCCTGGGTGGCGGGTGGCCGCAGTCCCGAGAGCCAGTCAGCCAGCATTGCGGTTGTGCGGGGCGGAGGAGGAAGGGCAGGGGAGGGTGGTGGGGTGAGCCCTGGGGTGACGCAGGGCACAGGGGGTACAGGGGACATGGGGGTGAAGGACTGTGATCCGGGGTTGGGACTGGACGGCCCCTGGCCCCTGGA